CAACTGCTGTAATCTCTCTTGTTTATTTTGCTGTTCGAGCTGCCATTGTTGTCGGTTTTCTTGCCACTGCTGTAATCTTTCTTCTTGTTTCTTTTCTTTTTCCTCTAACAACTGCTGTAATTTCTCTTCTTGTTTCTTTTCTTTTTCCTCAAACAACTGCTGTAATTTCTCTTCTTGTTTAATTTCTCGTTCTTCTTGTTTCTTTTCTTTTTCCTCAAACAACTTCTGTAATCTCTCTTCTTGTTTAATTTCTCGTTCTTCTTGTTTCTTTTCTTTTTCCTCTAACAACTGCTGTAATTTCTTTTCTTGTTTAATTTCTCGTTCTTCTTGTTTCTTTTGTTGTTCAAGTTGCCATTGTTGCAGGTTTTCTTGCAACTGCTGTTGACTCTCTTTTTGTTTCTTTTGCTGTTCTTGTATTGCTGCCATCAAATCTGCTAAACTGTAGTTTGATTTGCCGCTTCTCGTTTCCATTTTTTTATCCCACTTCTGACACCAATTTGTTACCTAACATCATTAATTGGATAATGAGTCACAAAACAAATAATCAAAACATTTTAGAGGAGGGGGCGCCAAAAGTGTCTTTGCTCCCGGGTGCTGAGAGCCCTTGCTACGCCTCTGAGCAGGACAAGTCTGCAGACGTACCACTGTACCACTGGGGGCGTCTCTTAGTTAATGCTAGATCAGTTTGTTTTGTGTAAACGTCTCAGTTGGCTTAAAATAATCTCTTTGAACCTTTCTCTCCTTTACGTATGTCAGGCCCGTATGAAACACGCGACAAGGCCTTGATACAATGTCATCACTCATAGCATGCTGCATATTTACCATTAACGCTATAAACTTTAATATAAGTTTAACATAACACCAAATGTACAACGTTTCGACAAGGTTTTGTCATAATCAAGTACAAGTATAAATATGCTCTAATTCAACGATACTGTACTCCCACACCAACCTTTATGACCTTTCTTAAAATGTGTTTATAAAGGATAGAATTTGTGCGTTTTAAAGCTATTGTATCAATTCCACTGAAGTCTGTATAATATACAGAGTTCATTGATCTATTCGTATTATGTTATGAAGGAGATCAGCTAGTGCTGCCATCTAACATTTAATTGCCAGTATATAATGAAACTCGAAACATTTTGAGCATCCCGTCATGTTGAATTTATCAACGATAACATTATTTAATAGTGTGTTGGCTACTTGCTTTTGAAAATGTTGTTATCAAAGAGAGTTCAAGGAGTTCTTGCAAAGCAAGATTTTTTGCTCAAGTACATGTTGTTGGCAAATTCTGATTTGTATGATGAAAAAGAAAATCCAAAGGTCTGTTTCCTTTTTTTATCAATCAGCTATGAATGATATATCTCGTAAAAAGTTATTTTATGAGATAAACATTATTGAAACTTAAGTAGTATCAGAGGATATTCTTTTTATTTCAATATCGAAAATCAGTACAGAGTGTTACACTTGAAGAAAATGGTAAAATTTACGATATTTTTACCGTAATTAATTTATACTGTTTATTGTATAATAATACTAAACGAGTGTGAGTATACGCGTACATTTTACTTTTTAGCGTCTTTCTCATCATTTATTCAATTCCACTGAAACAAAGATTTCAAAATCTATTCAGCTCGGGCCTCTTGAATATGGCGATGTTGTGTGGGTGACATGATATTGTAACATTTTCCTTTGGCTTCATTTACGGGTTCATAGAATTAAGTGTTGTTTTTTTTTTGTTTTTTTTTGGGGTGTGGGTGTGTGGAAAGGTCTATATCGGGTGCCAGATTTTCCATTAAACTTGTACTTACAGTTATACTGTTTAAAGGTTTAGCAAGGAGTGACAAACGCCGAAACGAGTAGAAGCGTTGATAGCCCCAGGGCAAACATCCTCGCTGGGCACCCTTTCTCTCTTTAAGAACTTAAGAATATTAGGACAACAACAACAAGCTCATAAACAAGGCAAAACCATAGCAACAGTCTTTTTTAGCTCACAGTATAAGCGTAAAAACGTTAATAAAGTAACAAGAAATATATATTAAATCTATAAAATAACGTTAATTAAGTAACAAGAAATATATATTAAATCTATAAAATAACAAATAACGTTAATAAAGTAACAAGAAATATATATTAAATCTGTAAAGTAACAAATAACGTTAATAAAGTAAAAACAAATATATATTAAATCTATAAAATAACAAATAACGTTAATAAAGTAACAAGAAATATATATTAAATCTATAAAATAACGTTAATTAAGTAACAAGAAATATATATTAAATCTATAAAGTAACAAATAACGTTAATAAAGTAAAAACAAATATCTATTAAATCTATAAAGTAACAGATACATATTAATTATTACTCAAATTATTATTTCAGTCATACTTAATGTATTAAGCGTCTATATGCAAAGAAAAGCCAAAAACTATGCTTTTTATTATTAAATGAAGATGTAGCCTAAAGATGCTTTATGACATAAACAGGTTTCATTTTTAGAAAACTTATGGAAATTAAATTAAATTTTAGTCTCTGAAAAGACTTAACTGAAACACTGGCAATCTTTGTTTTTTTATAATAAAAATTAAATATATATATACCACACACTGTTGACTGTGTGGTGTACAGACGCTCTTTTTGAAGTGTTCAAGCTTTTCTCAACAACATAAGTGGTATCTTTCCAGATTTACAATACAGTTTTTCTTTTAGATTAGACAATTTCTCTCAGTTTTTCTGTATCCTAGATAGATGAGGTTACACTATTCATTATGGAAAAAAAAAATTACATGCTCTTAAAAACTTGTAAAGCCTTCACAACTTTTGGATCAAAACCCTGACCATGGTGTGAGCTTATTCTATCAACTCGTTATTGTTAGTTAATTTTTTCAACCTACAACTCATGTTGCTAACATTATCACATATACTGTGCAAGAAAAGTTCAAAAATGAAGTTCTGAAGAATTCTGCAGGTCATGTTCATTAATTCATCAAAATTAAGACAATCCTGATGATTCTTTTATTGTACATACAATATGTTTTAATGTTTGAAATACAAAGGAAACATTGTGATCATGTAAACAACAATATCTCCATTAAGAACCAAATGTTGCCTGGCAGCTTAATAGCTTTCTATTAGTTTCTCTCATTTTTAAAATGTTTGACTTTTCATAAAGTGTTGTTATGAACCTTTGTTTCTGTTTATATTTTCTCCTCTAATCTATTTTATATTTTGAAGGGCTATATCAACTTGGGAACTGCTATAAGTAACCTTTCATGTGACATCCTTATTGAAAAAGTAAGTTAATTTTTAATCATTTTAATTGGATTCTTAATTTAACCATTACATTAATAAGGCATGTTGCCCAGGTTGTATATTGTTTTAAGAATATGTAAGAGTGGTTACAGTATATTGTAAAATACATTAATGATCTTGAAAGATTTTCATTAAAAAAATTCATTCGTTACAGAAATGTTGCTTTATATATGTATGTCAGATTTTACAAAAACTGAACAAAGACTAAAAACAGGTCTCTTATTAATACCAGTTTCACAGTTGAAACTTGCAGAAGATATTAAATGAATGGTTATTTTAAAGTGTTTCAAACATACTGAAGTTTTGTTGTGAGATAAACTGTTTGGAGAACTGAGTTATTTCCTGACAGATGCCTTTTAAAATTTGTAAAATAAAAGTTGTGTTTGTTGGTTATCAAAACATTAATTATTCTTATAGTCTTGCAGGAGAACTTTTAGGTGAAATTGAGAATGAAAAAGGCCTAGGAAAAGCTATTCCACAGGCTATGTTCACTTTTACACAGTTCTAGGCCTAAGTTCACAAACAATGTTTTCACATTCAACAGAAACTGTGATACTAATGTTACAAAACTTACCTCTAGTTTCAAAGTTTCATTACTAATTGATCAGTTTACTTAACTGACTCACTAAATACTTCACTGAAAACTAATTGACTTCACTAACTTCTTCCATATTTTCACACTTTGTTTACTAGTATCCGTATTGTACCCTTGTTTTAAAATATTTTGAAAACCCTTTCAATCATTACATCATCATGAACTTTTTAGATGTAGCATCATTGTGGTTTGAAAATTGTTGAATTTGTTGTTCTCTAGCAGATATCTGCTTTGCCCAATTGAGTGTTTGCTACAATTTTACCCAAGAGACAGATCTTGCATCTATAGCAATATCTTTCATTAGCCAAGTAGATGATATCTTGATATTACAGCATTTATCTGTTCTATGACAATGACCAGCCATGTGATAAAGTATATTGTTATGGACAAAACTGAGATCACCTGCTTTTCTAAGGAGTGTGGGTTTTAGTCAGTCTCGTTGGTTATCAATGGATATACATCTTCAGGGACTACAACTGTTGACTGATTCACAGGTCCAGTAGGAAGACAGTTGTCCAGTGATTGAGGATACAGTAGTTGAATCTCAATTACTGATGATGGAATCCTTCTGCTGGAATACATTATATTGTCTGTTGCTCTTACTGCCCAGCTGTTTTCCTCTAAGTTACTTTAAGCTACATGGTAATTTTGTGTGTGTGTGTGGATGAGATTATTTCATTTAGTTATCACTCATTATATACTGATTACAGATGATGTTGAATAACCTGTTTATAATATTTAACAGACCAAAGTTTTGATTTTTCTCTAATGTGTATTAACATTGTTGTCTTTCATTTATTCATGTTTATTCATTGCTTTAGGCTTAATGTCTTGATTTATTTACGCAGTCTAAGACTGTGAATATAAGAAAAACCGACCTTCTTAATTTTGAAGTTTTTTTTTCTGATGTATGGAGCTTTGATCGCACATAAATGCTTCTATGAATTTATTCTCACTACTATTTGCACAATCAAGGCTGAGTTGCCTTCAGATCTTAACCTCTTTAGATTAGCACATTGTACTTCTTCATACAAAGTGAGAATATGAGATATATTTGAAAGTCTATACAGTAGCAACAAAAATTGTAGAATTAGCATTATACATGTACTTATACAAATTAATCTATACATGTTCTTATCTAAACTGTTATACGACAAAAGGGGAAGGCAGAGGTATCTGTATAAACCCCCCAAATCTCAGTTTAATTTTTTTTAATTTCATATGGCCCCTTGCATACCTGAGTACTCTATTGCTCACCTTAGTGCCATTATTCTTCTTAGCCAGAAATACCACACCTCCTAACTGTAATATTTTGAATTTAATATTAAAGAAAGTATAATTTTATTAAAAGTGATTCAGTTTTTTAAATAATACAGTGAGTGGGCTGTATTAATAATTTTGGATGAACAAGTAGAAGAACAAAGATCAAACTAAATAAACAAATTTGAGTATCTTTTTCAGGTTTACAAAACATAAGGGACAAAAGTTGGTAGGATTTTATTTGGAAAATGCTAAACAGTTAGTGACCTCATTATCATCAAACATTATTAGAAACTTTCAATAATTAAGTTTTTCCTGAAGATAATGTTGTTATTGTTAACAGAACATGTGTGGTAAATTCTGCTATAGATATACAGTTGTTATTATCAGTTTCAGTCACAGTTTTCTGTATATTGTTGAATGTATTGTTCACAAAACATGTGTGGTAAATGCTGTTATAGATATACAATTGTTATTATCAGTTTCAGTCACAGTTTTCTTTATATTGTTGAATTTATTGTTCACAAAACATGTGGTAAATTCTATTATAGATATACAATTGTTATTATCAGTTTCAGTCACAGTTTTCTTTATATTGTTGAATTTATTGTTCACAAAACATGTGTGGTAAATTCTATTATAGATATACAATTGTTATTATCAGTTTCAGTCACAGTTTTCTTTATATTGTTGAATTTATTGTTCACAACCAGTGTCTATATCTATAACTTCATTTTTAGCTAAATGACGAAGGAATTTGGAAGTTTGATTCCAGTTTACAACATTATTTTGAATGTTATGGCATTCCTAGGTATGTATAAAATACAATTTTCAAGTAATGTATTTTTTACTGAAAGAAATATTAGTTTTAAAATTAAGCTTATAATCCTATCAGTTTAGCAGTAATCTTAAATAATTTATTTCTGTAAGCTGAGACTTTCAGTTTAAAAACCAAAATCTATTATGTAAAATTGATCTTTTCAAAGATTGCATTGAAAATGAAATTAAACAATAAAGTTTAGTACAAGTGTATTATTAACACTACCATACACAACAATGAGATTAAACAATAATTTTTAGTACAAGTGTATTATTAACACTTTCGTACACAACAAGGAGATTAAACAATAAAGTTAAGCACAAGTGTATTATTAACACTATCATACACAACAATGAGATAAAACAATAAAGTTTAGTACAAGTGTATTTTTAACACTTTCGTACACAACAAAGAGATTAAACAATAAAGTTTAGTACAAGTGTATTATTAACACTTTCCTACACAACAAGAAGATTAAACAATAAATAAAGTTTAGCACAAGTGTATTATTAACATTATCATACACAACAATGAGATTAAACAATAAAGTCTAGTGCAAGTGTATTATTAACATTATCATACACAACAATGAGATTAAACAATAAATACATGTGTGATATACCCGGGTCAAACTGAATATAGCTAGGAGCTATTACCTGTGTGATAAACCCAGATCAAACTGAATATAGCCAGGGGCCATTACCTGTGTGATATACCCAGGTCAAACTGAATATAGCTAGGGGCTATTACCTGTGTGATAATCCCAGGTCAAACTGAATATAGCTAGGGGCTATTACCTGTGTGATAAACCCAGGTCAAACTGAATATAGCTAGGGGCCATTACCTGTGTGATAAACCCAGGTTAAAATGAATATAGCTAGGGGCTATTACCTGTGTGATAAACCCAGGTCAAACTGAATATAGCTAGGGGCCATTACCTGTGTGATAAACCCAGATCAAACTGAATATAGCCAGGGGCCATTACCTGTGTGATATACCCAGGTCAAACTGGATATAGCTAGGAGCTATTACCTGTGTGATATACCCAGGTCAAACTGAATATAGCTAGGGTGCTATTACCTGTGTGATAAAATCAGATCAATCTGAATATAGCTAGGGGCCATTACCTGTGTGATAAACCCAGATCAAACTGAATATAGCCAGGGGCCATTACCTGTGTGATAAACCCAGGTCAAACTGAATATAGCTAGGTACTATTACCCTAAATTATTATTTTAAAATGTAACCCTGATAGACACCCCTTTCACCCATTAACAAAGATTAGGATAACTGAAATTTTGTGATAAAATCATTAACTCTTTTTTTAAAGTTTTACGTTTCTTCTTCCAGTATCCAATACAATATAAACCAAAATATACAAATGTTCTAGAACCTCTTGAAGCAACATGTGCTTCAGTAATGTATTGATAATAGTCATTTAGGAAGATAGATGTTATTTTTTTATCTTTTATTGCCAACAATTGTTGTGTCAAATTGATCACTCATGAAAAAATAAAAAACATCATTATTTAAAATGACACAGTTTTGTTTTATCATTTCTTTACTACTAAGGACATTGGATGTTTGTATTGCACATACGATTTTGTGAGATAGGAGGTGTGTTTTATAAGATGAAAAAAAATAACTGTAGAAAACATTTATATTCAGGTTGCGATCTGCCATGGCCAATTTCATGAATAACTCATTATGTTAATGAACGTATACTTACATCTTGAGGATCTATCTTGTCCAATGGTTGAAAAAATGGGTATTTAACAGATCCCTGTCTTTATTTAACATTTGTTTATTTCTGATCCACTATGGTTTTAAAA